GGCATCCTGCATTGGAGTTCGGCTGATGAGGTATTTGATGTACGCGGGTGGTCTTTATCTTAACTAAATATAAATCAAGTTTTATTTGGCTGGCCACTTTATCTTATTTTGCTGACCCGACTTTTTGCGATGCGACCTAGTCGCGGAGAGGCTGAGCCAATCAACGGCATTCAGAGCGAGAGTTCTTGAGAAGCGACTTGCCAACGAAGACGTTGGACTCGCTCATCGCGCATGCCAGAGTGACCATATAATTACTTTTTTTTTTGCGATGCGATTTAGTCGCACCGCGCGACTGCTTACATCCCCGGTGAGAATGCGCCTTTACGGAAAGTGCTGCCATCGAGCTAGCGCTGCGCGAGACTGATGTGCGCACGTCTCCTCAACAGACATTATTATTAGGTGGCAGATTGCAAAAGCGAGCGTGGCTCTGCGCGTGTCTGGTATTGTGATTGAGCACTGTCAAATCCTAGCGATAACAAAGAGCGGAAACGACCGGGGCTCCGTGGCGCCGCTCCCGCATCACACTTGGGGAATTAAAATGAAATTCCGGAACTTGTACTATTTTAGCGTGTTGGTACTTTTTAAACATTTAGAAAGTGGAGACACATAAGGGACGGTCTTTCAACCTCAACAATATTTATTTTCGGCTTCAAGCTCAAAGCCCGCCCGCTCCGTGGGAGCACGGAAAAGTGAATTCTCGAGGGAAGGAGAAGAGGCGGAGGAAGTGTACGCGATCCCCCTGTTCTGAGGGGCCAGGTACATCGGGCAAACGGGGCGATGCCTCAACGACCGACTCCGAGAACGTCAAATGGACGCCGAAAGGGCTGCTTCTCAGCACCCGATCGTCATTCACTGTAGGAAATGTCCCGGCTGCGCTCCTAATTTCACCGGCACAAAAGCCATGGGAGGCCACTTCGAGCGAGTCGGGAGAGAAATAATTGAGGCGTATCGGATGGCGACAAGCCCGCAAAACATAAGCCACCCCTTCCATTTCGCTCTCAAGTAAGGAGATTATCTTTCTGAGGCCCACAATGGAAGCGGAACGCTGACAGACTATACTCCGTTTCACCTTCCGTCCGAGCACAGCGGACGCTAGGAGCCATCCCAGCCAATGCGGCGTTGAGGGAGTGTCATGCGACCTTGAGCTCCCTGTGTCGCCCCGCCTCACCGGCAGGTCACGCGACTTTCTCCCGGCGCTGGATCGGCTGAGATGGCTCGTGGCGTCCACTGCGCTCGGACTGAAGGTGAAACGGAGTATTAGGGAGGGAGGCCGACCGTCACGCCGTTAGCGGCCAAGTGGGGAACTGAAGCGATGGGTACAACAAAAACCCGCCTCAGCCATTTTCAAAGGATTACAGCCATGGACGAAGGCGATATTCGCCTCGTGAAAGGTATGTCATCGGTATCTTTTTACTAGAACGTACATATTATTCTCTGTCTTATCATAAATGCGTGTGTTGTAGCTGAAAGAAGAGCCCGCGGGGCTAGCTCGGAGCAACGCTCGGAGCAACGCCGGAGCTTCGATTGCGACTGCCGGCGTGGCCGCCCGTGCGCTGGGCGCGTCGTTAATCGCTAGGTGTTCGCGCTTCAAACTTTGGCTTCGCTTGCACTTATTGCATGATGTAAAAGACATTCTGCAGAACTGCCGAAGCACCAAAGAGCTTGGTAGATTTGCACGTACACGCGCAGCGCGGGGCGGGTCGCACGCCTGTCCGTCGTCACTTTATTTGGACTGTTTACCGCGGATCTCTCCTACATACAAGGGGAGTGTGTAGCGCCAGTGAAGAGTAGCTAAACTCGGAGCATGCCTCTTGGTGCTTGCGAAACACACGAACGGTCTATCGCATCAAATGTGGGCAAAGCGTCCCAGCGAAAAGGAAGGAAACCATTGCTGGCAGTGTTGCACCTACTATGTACAAGCCCCGTTGTTTTGACGTCCTATTAGATGCTCGAAGTAAGGTATGCATTATTTACTGCTTTTCAGTACCCATCTCCCTTGCAACGATCCTGGAGTATGTGGGAGACAGTAAGAGGGGTCTCATTGAAGACGAAGATGTTCTAAATTGCGAGCACGTAACAGAATGCAGCGTCGCGCCCGTGCCAGCTTTGGGTGTCCTTCGCGTCGTAGGCTACGTGCTGCAATCGTCAGCGCTCCACGGCGAGCCACACACCGTGAATTTGGATCTTAATCACGGAGAGATCCTAAGCATTTCCTGTTCATGCGTGGCAGGGTAAGTGGTCATTTGTTACTGATTATTTGCTCAAACTAGATTAGAAGAATTCTTTTGTTTTCAGTTTGCTTTGGGGGGGGGGGGGGGGGAGTCCTCTCTAATTCAGGTTCACCACATTTCAGTGGTGTCTTATTGATAATGGGTGGCTTTTGGGTTGTCATATGGTGTGCCTGTTACTGAAATTTAAACCTGGGATTGAACAATTGGCTGTTTACTTTGGTGTTGCTCCCAGGAACTCAAGCCGGTGCAAGCATTGTGTAGCTGTGCTGCTTAACGCAAACCGGATGCGTGAACTACCGCAGCTCTCAAGTACTGATTTACCACAGGCGTGGGGTCAGCACGCCAAAGAGGTTGTGAAAGTCAAGTATGCCCCAACGACGCTGAAAAAGGTTCCTTTCTGTCCAAAGGTAAGTTCCAGCTCTCATGACATTGTGAACAAAAAAACTCACCAATCTTCCTCTGTCATCTCGGCGCAAAGCCCAGTTTCCAAGTATGTCATCTGTGGCATTTTAATCGCTAGTTTTGTTGATCCAAGGACCACTTGTTGAGAAAGTGTTAAGTGGTCGTTGTCATAAGCTGCGGTGTCTGACTCAATCCAGCATTAATTTACTTGTCAACATCCAGGAGCACGTCGAATTTTGGCTTCTCATATCACGGTAAAATAATGTGGGCTGAATGGCAAATACAGATCACTAGTCAATATTTTAATGCAAATAGTGACCAACTTTTAATGTCCCATGGACTAGTTGCAAAAAGGATACATTACGCTCTTTTGTTCCAAAAATGTTGTCGGTTCCGGTTACTTTAATCACTGCCTCAAGTCTTGTGGTTGGTGCATAGTTGTGGCACATAAGAGCCTCTTGCAGTTTGTGTACGTGAACAACCTTTTTCCCTTGTAGTGTCGTGACCTGCAGATCTGAATTTAAATAAATTCAGTTTCAACGCCCTGCACTGCCCCCTGTGGAACCTAATATTCTTGGGCGACTGAAGAAAGACCTCCCATATGTGTGCTCGATTGCAATCCACGAGCGGAAACGGCCACACGCAGGTAAGATATGGTTTACTTGTCGAATTCTTGAGGGCAACCTTTATTCCTTCAACCTCGGGGAATTTTGCAATGGCATGACATAACCATGGTGCAGTGCCAAACGATGCTGCATCATTGCAGAGCTTTTCCACATAAAACTAAACCTGGGTACACACCTGATGTAAAGCCTGTTGACATCTCATAATGTGAGCGCAACATGTGTTGGTTTGCATCGGGTCATGCATTTAGTGCACCTTCCTGATATGTTTTACCCATATTCCTGGAAACCATTAAGGCGGATAGAACTAGGACATCCAGATTCTTGAAAAGAATCTGCCAAGACCTAGATAATGTCCTTGAATAAATGGCTTGGCACAAATAAAAGTGTATACAGCATTTCAGGACAGGCGAGTGGAGCATCATGCTCTTCTGTGGTGGCATCTCGTCCACCTAACCTGCTGGAAGTACTGCGGCGAATGCCAGAAGAAGAGCTCCAGAACGTCCTGACAGTGCTGAAGCGTGTACTAACCAAGGACGTCATTGCAGAAATTGAGCGCAGAACAAAAGCACAATCTGCAGAGCCCGAGTGGATGCTGTACAGTAAGGGCATGGCCACGGCATCAATCTGCTACTCATTCCGCACATGGGTGGCGTCTGTAAAAAAACCGGCGATACATCCTAGACCACACAATGTCGGCGGTCTGCTCAATCTAGTGCTCAGGTTGAACACTTATCAATCCGCCTCCATGAAGTGGGGTCAGGAAAACGAAGGAAAAGCCAAGTTGAAGTACCTTAATGTACTAACTAAGGATGGTCACTGCGCCATGATTGACAACATGGGTTTCATGGTATGGGAGGAGATGCCCTTCCTAGGATGTTCCCCTGACGGCATAGTCACGTATAAATGCCAGTGCTGCCCAGGCAGAAGAAATCTATTAGAGGTGAAATGCCCAAATCTATTGAGCAACTCTTTTCTTAAAAATGGAAAGGACCCCAAATCATCCAATTACACCCAGACACAGATCGGTATGGGAGTCACGGGTACCGACAGCTGTGACTACTTCGTCTATGAGTCGGATACGGTCTGGAAGCTGGTAAACATCAAGTTGAGCCAAAAATATTTCGATGAATGTGTCGAGGCGGTCCGCTTCATTTACTTGGAGTACTTGTTCCGTGCTCTGAAAGGAGTGGTATGATAAGGGCCGTGTTTTTGTGTTCACTTTTGAGGCATTAAGCAAGAAGAGCTCACACATAATCATTTTCGCAAGTGTAACAGGTAGTTTAATAAAACAAATAGGTACATGACAACAGGAGAAACAATGGGACTTTTAGTTTTTAGTATGTTCTTTCATTAGCTAGCCATGGCATGACATTAAAAGTGAACATTTTGAGAGAAGTCTCTGATTGGGGTGCTACAATAAATAAAGCGATAACACTAACCAAATCCGTAAATAGGAAAACCCTAAGTTTCAGAACAAACTCGGTTCCTTCGCCAGGGTTAGACTGCGGTTGTGGTCGTCGAGGAGCAGCATTTTTGTTTTCTTCTGGTACGGTGGTTCAAGAAAACAAAAAAAGTATGCTCCTCGGCGGCCATAGCCGCAGTCCACCACTGACGAAGGAACCGAGTTGGTTGTGAAAGAAAGGGCTTCCTTATTTACGGATTTGGTTAGTGTTATCTCTTTATTTTTTTATGACAAACAAGGGTGCTATTTAGTGTTTACATCCCCTTATTTCTTGTAAAATTACAAAAACTTGTCATGGGCAAAAATTGGAGGCGAAAGGTTCACAATTCCTGCCACCAATTTCATTACATCGTCAAAGAGGGGCATCAGGTGCGTTGGAAAGCGCTGCTGAAGTATTCTGAACACTTTCAAGCGTTGAATAGCACGTTCAACGTGTACCCTTGCGCGGGCTATGTCTTGATTCAGCACTGCATCTGTGCGCGACATTCGTTGTTTGTTCCTCAGGAAAGGTGGTCGAACGAGTTCTACTCTGGCATCATCGCACAGCTTGTCAATTAAGAACCCTTTGTCCACCATGACTTGCTCAAGTGGGGAGCACTTTTCGAGAACTTTCGATTCCTTTGTGATGAAGCAGTCGGAAGTTCTTCCTCCATAAGCGTTGCTTACAAAGGTTATCATGCCACTTGGGGCACACCCAATCAGCACTTTTGCAGTGTATGTCTTTTTGTAGTGGCTGTAAGTGATTATTCGTGATGTCAGGTCAGCTGGCCTCTGTATGGCTATCTCTGTACAGTCAAGGATGATCTTAGTGTGAGGAAATTTTCTAAAATACACTGTAAGGTTTTCCTTGATTGACTCGTCGGATGGAATGAAGACGGCAGCACCAAGCACGTGACTCAGGATACAGATTGCCGTTTTCAGGTTTTCGGATGCAGTTGTTCTGTGAACACCAAACAAAAAAGCCAAGAAGCCAATAGAGACGTTGTGGTAGAGCTTCACCATAACCATCAAAACAAGGTCACCCGAACACAGAAAACGAGCCTTCAAAGTCATCTGCTTTCTCACATTATCGAATTCCGTTACAATGTTTTTCATCAACTGTAGTGAACCAACACCAGAAAGAATAACAAGCTCTTTGTCGGACTTTACCATCGACAACGAAATTCGGGGCCCTTGCTTCTGCTTCAGTAGGGTGTCCACTTGAATGCACGAATCTACTTGGAAGGGTGATCCTGTGGTAAGCAGCGACTTCTCGGTCCCTAAATAAAATGAGAGCAAATATGACGTTAGCATGGAAACCACAAACTGGCCATCTCGACTCGTGACGGTTTTGAAAGTACACATTTGATCACAAAACATACTGAAAACTGATGATATAGGATGGAATGGCCGGAGAGCACATTTATCAACAGTGTTCCTGGGTCAAGCTTCAGCGCATAGCACCGGTGTGCTCGGAGAAACAGCGGGTGCGGCAGTGCATTTCGGTTTGCTTGATGGGCTAGGAAATTTTACTCGTTGTTAGAGGCCAGGTTCAACTAAAAAAAAAAAAGCAATGCCGAGAAAATATGTCTGCGTATTCAAATAAATAAATTATATTGATAGAGGCCCTTGGCACAGAATCGAGGTGTCCGTTTTGTTGTAGCCAAACCTATGCTTGGTAGCCTCGCCTAACAGAAAGTGGCCAAAAAGTATGACATAACTCTTAGTCACTGGTTTTGGGACACTTTGGTTCAATATCACACACTGTTGTGAGATGCAATGAGATTCAAAATGGTGCATTTCGATTACCAGTGGAATTGCTGGCAAACGCATAGTCGAATCTTTACTGACGAAAGACAAGCTATGTCGCCCATTCTTGCATCAAAGCCGAAGTTTGAACAGAAGTGCAGTCTAAACTAGTTATAAGAGACCTTGATAGTTATCAAAATTGCAGTTTGTCGTAAAAGTATATGTAGTGTGGAGATACGAAAGTGAATCAATGGCACGGATAGTAAAAGTTCCCAAATTTCAAATGTCTGTCGTAACCAGATCAAATGACTGTCGTAACCCGATTTATTTTAACAATTTTAGACTGAATTTTGCACAATGGCAAGTGTAAAAGAAAGTTTGCTTTGCCGACATGAACAATAATTTTGTTTGAGTGTACTTCATAAAAGGCACAATGTGACAAATGTTATCGCTCAACTTAAACTTGCTTTTAAGTACAAACAAATGAAACAAGTTATATGTTTTAAGGCAGTCAGATATCAAAATAAACTTGAAGGATGGAACAACTACATTATATCAGTGTAAATTCAAAACCTACACTCTGCATCGTAGTCACTGTCGCTGAGCTCCTCGCACGACTCCGCTGCTTCGCTCCACTCTTCACTGGACATTGTCGCTTCATTCTGATCATCACCGGTCAGTGTTGCTTCGCTGTCATCCTCACAGGTCAGAGTTGCTTCGCTGTCATCCCCACAGCTCACTGTTGCCTCGCTGTCAGCTCCACAGGAGGAGACACCATGGTCACCTGAATGTGTTGCGAGTAAATGAGCAAAACGTTGAATGTGTTTCGTATGCGTGCAAATGGTTATCCACATGAATGAAGGGATTATCTCGAACACACTCCATACAGCAGTTGCAGTAATGATTTATATACAGTGCTCACTCACTGGAATGAGTGAATACGGTTTAAACGAGCTTCACATAAAATAACACAAAAGGCTAAGACTAGCTCTTCAACACCGTAGAAACGCATAGGAACAAAAATAAGAAAACGCACAGAACGGTCTCGAACTGAGCTGCGACATGCATGTCATCCAATATTTGTTTTTAGTTCTTTTGTTCCAACAATGTTTAAGGATCACATTGTAATTACATTGCAGTCAAAGATTTTTGTTGAATGGCCAGTGCAATAAAACGTTTGCTGAAGATGGAACGCCGAAATAAATTAAAAAGGGCTGAACCAGTCCTGCATTGCCTTGACTTTCTGCAAATAGCAAGACTGAAGCAACACTGAGCTCGTTCAGTTTATGTGTACCAGCCTCCAGCAGTGCAGAAGAAACATGGTCTGGGTGGTGACGAACGTGACGTGTGGTGTCTGATGGTGTGCTCCCGTTGGTATTTAAGTTTGTGTTTTTTCCTAATAAATTCAGTTGAGAGTGCGCCCTGTGTCGTCGTTATTCTACTCTTTGTCCCTGTTCTTTTAGCGCTTATTTCCCATGATGTACCAACTGACCCACCTAAGCATTTTATTGCAGGTCAATGTATTTCCTCAACGTGTTTTAAGATAGGCTGCTCTTGTTAATCGAATGCGCTGAGTGTAACCAAGTGGAACTGGTGTATAACGTGCTGGTTAAATCAAACAAGCCTACCATGTAATGCAATAAAAGTGCTGAGAAATGCAAATGGCCCACAAAACAATCCTACGATTGATTTGAATTGCAAAACCAGTTTAAAATTGATTCTGCAATTGTAAAGTGCCACTGCACCATATTGTTGACCTAAACGATAGCAATTACGTTAAACATAATCGCCAGAAGTACCAGCATTTCCTTGGTACTATGACTAGCTAGATGCCACTGGTACACGTGACTCCATAGAATGAGGAATGCTAAATATCCACATAACTGCGGAAAATAAATGTCCTATCCTTTTTGTACCCTCTACCACGCCCCGTTTGAATTTTAATAAATCGTGTCGCCTTTCTATAAGCAGCCTAGCCATTGTTCAAATTGACTTGCGTGATGCTAGACCTCAACAGATGCAGGCCCAGGCATTTCTGCGACATCATGATACGGTGGAGCTACCTGCCGTTACCTTTACAAACTGGTACTCCATGACTGTAATCACTTGTGTAAGCGATTACAATATTTTACAAGCTTTCTTAACAAAAATGTTATTCCAGTGGTTATTTATTTGTTACTGTTGCACCAACTAAGCACTGCAATAGGAGGAAACAACTATTTTTGATGTGGCATGCTATGTCACAAGAAACTACATATGCTTTTAATAAGTTGTTTAGTTTGTTTATGTGCACACTTCTCTCGACCGTACTCACAGTCTCCTTGAACAATGACGTGCTCGGCCCTCAGGCGTGCACCGTTGCAGCTTTCATGGTCAACCTGGCTGAGAGTGCTGGGGCTGTACTCATCGAGGGATGGGTTCTCTCTGTCACCTGAAATAAATTCTCACTTAGCCTTTTCTTGACCACTGCCCATAATGACTAGAGCATTAGGCGTGCACAGTAAGCATAAGTTTGTTATCACAGCAACCATAAACATATAGTATCATCTGCTAAGTATGAAGAGAGTGCCCCATCACAGAGTCCCATACCATTTCGTTCAGCGAAATTTCGGCGACAACATTCGGTTTTTTCCAACATTAATTGTAAAAAAAATAAAAGCAAATATCGCCAAATACGTCGGCAAAATAAGATGTTCGGAAAAACAAAAGCAAAGAGTACGGCCCCATGGAGGATCGAACCCGGGACCGCTTATTTATGAGACGGGCATCTTACCACTACGCCACCGCCCACTTCGGAAAACTCGTTTTGAGAACACAATTTATACAAGACTTTCCGACGGCACTTGATCGTGTGGGTAGAGGGCTGTCGGACGACACTTGGACGCTCTCGGACGGTACTCTAGACACTACGATCATTGGCTCGATCATTTTATGTGACATTAGACGTACACGACCGCCGTAAGCTACGTCTGGCGTACGAGGCTGGCCCCGCGCACTGTGATCAAAATATCGACTGAGGACGCACTTAGTCACGCTTCAATAATCACGAACATGTAAGGACGACCACTGGCATATGAAGATATCGACAGCACACGTTGCGGTAATAATCGTGCCCTTCATTTGACAACAGCGTACCTTTAGGCGGCTTCCGGGTCTTCACCACACGATCGTGTGAGCCTTTTGGAAGGTTCTCCGACGGAACGGATGATGGCTTCAGATACCTGTTCTTCCTGTCTATGGAAAAATGCAAAGCGATTTTAAAACGGGAATCATTGCTAGCCTTGTCTTCGAACACATACCTTTTACGTCGGCTTTTTTCACTTTAAAAGCATCGGCCGAGAAATGCCGACTGCACACCATGACATGGGCCGTCAACTTCTTCCCCATTTTTAACTTCCACACCCAGCGTGCCCTTAGCTTTTTGTCGCGCGGATAATGGTGAAAACTGACACCTTGTTCGAAAGCGTACGTTGTGCATTGTGGCACGGAACAATAACGGACCATTGCGGGAAGTAATCGTGGCGATCACGCAGTACACACACAACACTCAACGCGATGGCGGGCTTGTTGTCCCCACAGCGCAATGTTTATTTTGATGATGATGTCGATGGCGAAGATCACGAGCGCCCCCTATATTTCGATCTCCTCCCCAATAGGCAAGGCAACAAGTTCACCCGCAGAAGCGGTCTTTCCTTTCATTCCGTTCCATTTCATTCCAGAGAAGGGCTGGGATTCCCCCGTCCCTTATTTCCCTACTGTTTAACAGGTCGGGATACACTCTCTCCCCTGTAGCTTTGGCTGAACAGCAGAGTTTTTGCTTTTGTCTTTTGTTTTTTTATAAGTTGTTTTCGTGTTTTTTTTTTTTTTTTTGTTTACTCTAAAGCGTCGAAAATGCAGAGAAAGCTTAGTTGCGTTGTTGATGCCCATTCGACCTCGCCTTTTGCAAATCCTCCCCACCTGCTTTTTTGTCTTCGTGTGGCTGTCAGCGAAAGCGACACCCGCTTGACGCAAATCAAAAGGGTGGAGCGAGACGCGTGACCTCTCTATGTAGGACGCGTAGGACAAAAATGTTTGGACGAAAATTTGTCACGTGACTCTCTCTGTCACGCTGATGGGATCTCTGGGGCTGTTGTTTTCGCCGTTTTCCTAGTTATACAAATAGGCGGGCCACGTAGGTCCGGTTTTTAAAATGCGCTCTTCAGTGTTTTGTTGCTTTCGTGCGTTGCAGACGCGGTCGCGTTTTTTCGTCGTAAACGGCCGGAATACGTCCATGCCAATTTTTTGGTAACAGGCCTTTTTTCACCGCAGTTTGTGGAATTTTTGTGATGTGTTTGTTGGACACGCTTCGACAAAAACTGCTCTTCGCCGACGACGAGACGTCAGTTGAATGTGCGCCACTTTCTTTCTCGAGTGTGTTTGTGGGGTGCGTGAGTTTGAGTATGCATCTATCAAGGACTACATGGTATCGCTCTTTTATTAGTAAGTACACTGCAAGCATGCTTCTGATAGTAGACCTGCTTTCCTCTCAATCTCCGCGCTTTTTGTGTGATGAGTTTTGATTCGCGCGAGGACAGTGTCAATTCTGTTTTATAATTTGCTTTTCGTTTTACAGAGAAGTGTGACCTTTGTAAATATGTCGAGAATACACTGTGTGTAATGATAGTGGTTTAATAAACTTCTGGGAGCGATCGAAAAAATTTTGTTTGTCCGTATATGTGACTGGATATGCAACAAATGATGTGCAACGTACACATACTTGCACGACGTTCGGCCAATACGGAGCAGAGACATCGTAGAGTATTCGGACAATATTGCGCGAACGCTAGGCCGGGGCAAAACGGCTGCACAGCAATGCTTGCCGGATATCAAACGGTGGTGCAAAACTGGACGTTTGAGTGATATTGGAATCAAGTTTCGGCCGGTACTGTCACGATACTGCAAAGTATTGCCGTGCTGCTTGGGAACGGAGGTGATGGCACCTGACCATCATGTTTTCAACGCTTACTTAATTTATTTCTCTTTTGGGGCGCGTGAAAGAGCACTTCTGTGACACACCAGAGATATTCCAAACTTGGGCAGGCCTCTTGGCTTTCTTTGCCACTTTTGGCGCTTATTTGGCACTTCAGTGGATAGCCAGAGAAGATCCACACTTCGGCATGCCCCGAATCGCCAAATTAAGGTTTACTGCGGCAATTATGGCTCAAGTATGGCACTACTTTGGCACTCCTGTGGCGGACAATAGAAAATTCAAACTTTGGCATGTCTAAAATACCCAAATTAGGCGTTGCTCTGGCACTTATGGCTAAAGTATGGCACCAACTTTGGCGCTCTTCTGGAGGACCAGAGAAAAGCCAAACTTTGGCACGTCACAAATACCGAAACTAGGCGTTGCTCTGGCAGTTATGGCTGAAGTATGGCACCAACTTTGGCGCTCCTCTGGCGGACCAGAGAAACGTCAAACCTTGGCATGCCCCGAATTCCCAGATAAGGATTTACTATGGCAGTTATGGCTGAAGTATGGCACCAACTTTGGCGCTCCTCTGGCGGACCAGAGAAAAGCCAAACTTTGGCACGTCCCAGATACCGAAATTAGACGTTGCCCTGGCAGTTATGGCTGAAGTATGGCACCAACTTGGGCGCTCCTCTGGCGGACCAGAGAAACGCCAAACCTTGATATGCCCCGAATTCCCAGATTAGGATTTACTATTGCAGTTATTGCTCAAGTATGGCACCAACTTTGGCGCTCCTCTGGCGGACCTGAGAAAAGCCAAACTTTGGCACGTCCCAAAAACCGAAATTAGGCGTTTCTCTGGCAGTTATGGCGGAAGTATGGCACCAACTTTGGCGCTCCTCTGGCGGACCAGAGAAACGCCAAACCTTGGCATTTCAGAAAATATAAGTCACCTATTAATGCATAACTATGAGCGAAACCTCCACCAGTTATTTATGAAGTCTGTTTATGAACTGCTTTATTAAAAGTGTGCAACGAGACAGTGGAGCCAGTGTGGCTCCTAGCAGAAGCATTTTGCATAAGCACTGTATGTTATAGCCGAACTTAGTTTCTAATCAATGTAAGCTTACGTGTGCATAGTGCTATACAAAACGTGTGGAGCCACAGTTGCCATTTACTTCTTTTAGACTAGAGATAGAAATTGACTACATGGATTCCCTCATTTCACTGGCGAAAACAGCTGTGATCATAACAATTCCAGAAAATCTACTTGGCCCGCCAGCGAGCTAAGAGCAACCTGATAATAAGATAAGCAAAAAATAAGTTCCATGTAGATCTTTTCGATCACTGACACTAGTGAATGTCGTCCAAAAGTGATTCCAGATCTTCAAACACACAAGTCCTTGGTAGAGCCATATGCCAGCGCAGATAAATGAAAAACAGCGGAGTGGTATTATTGTTGCCGTTTACAACTGCAGTAGTTTTGATGACAGCCTTTTAGCTGTACAGGAAATCATAAACAGAAAGTACTGGCAATCAGTTGTTTGTGCTAGCAGTCTTGCATTATGTATACCGACTGGTCTCTTGAGAACATTCTCCACAAAACTGTAGGCTTATGTCTGAAATGATTTCGCCTTGCTTGAACTGGATGCCTTTGGTTCATACCTGTCTTCACAACCCTCAAAAGGGTCGTAGTCATCACTGGAGTCATAGCCCTCCCCACTGGACTCCCCTGTTTCGTCAGGGTCTTCGTCGCTTGTCATGTCATCATCATTGATTGAGGGATGAGTAGCACGTAAGCTGCTCTCCGTCTTTGTGCTTGCATCAGCACACAGTGGACTGGCTTGCACTTATGAAAAAGAATAAAAACCTTTATGAAGATATAGTAAATCTAACATTTTGAACCTCTTACACACACACAGGGGTTCATTGTTATAGATCAGTTTTTCTGTGGCGTGGACGCAGCTGACACTACAAGGTAATATGACATATCAGACAGCGTCAAAATTGCACCATCGTGGTGCTCATACTGTTCCTGTATGTGTTCTATCATCAATGAACCTATCGTAAACAGAAAAGGTTCAGTGACTTCTGCTCTTGATGCTGCTTAATTCGTCTATTTAGTTCGTAGTGTCGGCTGCGTCTGGAATCAAGCTGAAACCAAGTATAAAATTGCGCACTCAACCAGTTGTGAACCCGAGCCACAATGGGGTGCACAGGCTATTCTTTGGGAATACCGTAGGTACTTAAACTTGCCCCAAAGAGTATACTCGATTTGCTATTGGGAAGCAAATAACAAATAGATCTCTCAGTATGCATGCACCCGCTAGTGTCCTGCAAATTAAAAATAAATGCTATTCGGAAAAACAATTTTTTTAGTTGCAGCCGGGATTCCACGGTCCCAATTGAGGTGGTGATTCTTTTTACATAACATTGCAAGTGTGGGACGCTTAGGTTTTAGTTGCGGTGAAGAAACACTGTTCTCAAACCCTCTGGTGTAATCTTCCCTATCGTTCGCCGGACGTGCCGTGTCCAATGTGCACCAATATTGGTTGCATTATGATGACCCAAGCATGGACTGTCATTTCACAGACATCGCAACCTACAAAGCAATAGAAAAAATATTGTGGTGCATCGTTTATTTTAGTCTCGGGATTTCAATTATAATGTTTCCTGATCAGCTTGCCTGTATTTCTCTTCTCAGACTTTCCGAAGAATTTTTGTTTTTATGCACTATCACTGATCGGATTGGTCTTACCTTGCCTTTTTGATGTTTGTTTTGTGAGCTTTTTTTAGGCAATTATAGTTTTGATTGCTGCCTACTCCTTATGCAATACCCCTAAAATGTTAGAGGGGAGAGGTATTTTTAAGGCACTAAAATAATTGTTCGGCCGTTTTTCACTTTCTTGATCTCATGTGTTGGCAACTGGAGTTATTGGAGTCACATTTCCTACTCGTGCAGAGCTCACTGGAGTGAGCATGACCTTTACTCTACAGTTATGCACCTTTTCAAAGGTGAATTGCAGTTGCATGCTTTCAGTCAGTGTCATGGCTATACGCTATCTCACAAATATCTGCAGTGAAGACAAAGGCATGGGCACAAGCATGTGACTTTAGAAAGTGCCTCTCACAAACAAGTCGTTGTACAAACAAAAGCATATTACCGAGCTAGGCTTGCGCACCTATGCCATTGTCTTTTCTGCAGACGCTTGTGAAATGGAGTATAGGGTTGAATGAGCTAACAGAAAATATTTTGTCTGTCTCAAGGCAGGAACAGTATCACCATAGCAAAAATGGCATACCAAAGGACTTGACTGGAGCTTTAGTTTAAGTAGACCGAGATGTCATCTTGGGCCGCACTGACACCTGTATGCCCTTGTCATAAGTGTCAACTTGTGGACCGCGGTGTTCGTCGTCATGCTGATGTGCACGGGAAACACTCAGGTCTTGGCACTGAGGCTCTTCGTCTTCTTTACACACCGCCTCAATGCGGTTCAGCGTCTCATTCACTGAACGAGTGAAGTCTGCATCAGCAGTTGAAGAGTTTGGGGGCGGCTGACGGTGCAGAAAGGAGCTCATAGACAACCTGGGAATAGAAATGGGTGTTATAGTCCATTTAATACAGTTAATCCACTTCCCCACAAAGTTCGAAATTGGACAAATTACATTACATGCATTTGTTAGTGTTGTATTTGCTGCTCTCGCGTAGGATTTTTAATGTGAATCAAATTATAAAGTCTAGTATGGGTATGTCCAGATAAGCAAAAATGACAAGTGTTCCATTGTAGACACAGATGAGAACTGTCGGCCAATGAATAATATATACTTTTGGCCCTGCGACCGTCTTAGACAACCGTGAGGAGAACCGTAGGCCAATGATGAATATACGCTTTTGACTATGGGACCATATGTTGCGACACTGACATTTCGTTTCTTAGACCATAAACAGTAGTTTATACCCCCCGCCCAGAATTTTTAACACAAAATACACAAGACTATGGTATACAGGCACCCAAAGCCCTCCCAGAAATTGTTTTAGCCTTCCTCCAGATTCACGATTCTGGACAAACCCCTGACCGTGAGAATCACGACAATTCGAATGGTGTGACAATAATATAAACAGACGTTGGCTATCACGCTAGTAAACTCCCATTGCGTATAGCGTAAAACCCTTACTGCTCGCGAGCTCCTAATTTTAGCAAAATTTCTCGAATTGTAAAATTCGCGAAATTTATTGGGCGCGCATTTTTTTATTGTCTGTAGAGGCGAATTCCAGCCTTTAGAATTCGCGAAATTTAGTGGTCGCGAATATGACCCCGTTCACCAATTCGCGAAAAACCAGGGCCTCGAAAATAAACGGGTTTACAGTAGTACCAAGTAACTTGCACGCTGTCGCATTTATAAAGGGGAAATCTCGCATGAATGCTTCACCACGAGGAGCTCCAATGTTTATAATCCTGAAAATTCCGACTCGCTGACTCGGGGATTCAAAGCTTGCCCAAAAGGCTTGGATTTCCTACAAGTCTTCTTTCCACATGTAATTTCGATGTTTACAAATGTCACATCGGTGAGGTCGAGCATTTTATTACGTGGGGCACAGGCACTAGCTCAAACGAAGCTCTTTGGCAGGCTACGCGCTCCGGCCTTTTAAAATAATCCACGAACCTAAATGCATGCTTTCGGAGAACGATAAACTGACAATTCTTACCTCGTTTCGTCCCCGTTTCACGTAAGCTCCTCGGACTCGCTGACGTGCCTGCCTCTTGTGTCGGAAGATGCTCGGAACTGCGTCGAGCTTCAGACGAGCAGTTTTGACATCCATGCCCATCTTATTCGTAAGTCGCACTTTGTCGTCGTAGGCTCTAATAAAAAAATGCTCCGAACACAGAACGCTGTGCTTGTTGGGAACAAACTTGTCCCTTCGCATGGCAAGAACCCGTTGCTTCGACAGTTCGGAGTCCGCGGGAATATTATGAAAGCGCACCGAGCAACCACGTCGATATCGGTTTGTGCAACCGACGGCCGCACAGAAGTTCGGCATGAGGTAATAGCAAGCCCGTCCGCCGACCTTGCCACAAAGTCCACGTCAACACAAAAAGGTGAAACTAAACTGAACAAACGCGATACAAGAAAAAATTAAGTCCCAAAAAGAAACTAAACAGTTGAGCAACAACGACGCACGACGCTAGCTTTGCCGGGGGAGCCGCGGAGCACACGCGAGGCGAGGAGCCGCAGGAGCGAAGGTCCTTTTGTGACGTCATCATACGTCATGCCTTTCCCTCCTCCTTTTACTCCCCTCTCCCACTGCCGCAGAGGGGCGTGGTTTCAACGCAACTTTAAAGGCGTCTTTTTAGGTAACACGGGCATGAAATAGAATACTATTTGCGATGTTCGTGATGTTTGAAGTTCTATTAACAAGAATCAAGTGTTTTTAATCCAATTCAAAACCGTTTCAGCTTTCCTTTAATATTTCATAAAACGCTAAGGCTGCGAGCCGCATAATTTTTTTTTTTTTTTTTTTGCGCTTGGTTTTTGCATTTACAGATGCCGACAGATGCTTGTATACTAAGGTGGCACGTGCATAATCGGACGTTGCCGCGCTGCTTTTATGAACGTGTCGCGTGTATGGTTCAGCCAGCATAACGTGGTCGTGTCTTGCTGACGCACACTCGCGCCTCCTGGCCGAGAGCAATGAGTCTATGCATGGCACAGAGCGTAATGTGGTATCTAGAGTTCAAATGATGACCGTTGCCTCTTCTGTTAAAACTTTTTTTTTTCTGTTAGACTACAAATCTTAGCTCGATGGAGAAATATTTACGTACCGTGAAATTTTTTTTGTTGTTGTTGTTGCAAAGAGTTAAAAATTATAGGATATCTTTTTCTTGAACCCTGGAACGCATCTCTGTTTCCAGACGTCCCCCAGCAAACCATTAACAGAGACTTGCCTTTAACCTCATATGGCTTTAGGTTTCTTACTGTGGATGGATATGTTAAAATCTTTGTCGATCCATTCGTGCTCCTGAGATTACACGCCATTTGGTAAAGTAGAATCACTCGGAGGCATGCCGGTGCGAGTACCCGACCCGTACGTATGTGTTTTATAAACCTTTTCTACAGGCTAAAATTTTATATTTAACCTTACAATGTGCGCCCGATTCAGTGTCAATTCTCAACGTACTTAAGATTTTAAAATAATTTTCAATTTTACGACCGCGCGTTGGTGATCTCCGCGAAGTGATTTTTACAGTGCGAGCTTTTTTTTCTATACTTGTACAAAGCGGCAGCAAAAAGAAGAAACGCTGTGGCCTAGCTTATTCTTAACGCCTCCATTTAGCACGTAGTGGACTCAGGTTCCATTCCCGGGAACGGAGGGCGATTTTTTTCAGAGTTGGCAACTTCGACGACGCACGCCCTACATCGCCAGCTACAACATCAACAACGACAACAACTACAGCTACTACATCAACAACCAACAACTAGTAGTATTAGAACTGTAATATAAATCACTAACGTCAGCTCTATCGGTGGAAAAGCCAATAACAGCTATTGCTGTAAAAAACAACAACAAGAAAGTGCCAAAGTTTATTTTTCAAATCAAAACTAACCTAAAGGCTGCATCAATATTAGCCATAAAAGTAAAACATGCCCCGTGCTAACCCAAGACGAGAAATTTCTGATGTTTCGGCTCCTACCAGGATCTACTTACTATCAGACTCCTTGATAAACAGAGTTTATAAAACGAAGTGGAGCAGGAAAAAAAAGAGTGTAATAAACTTTTTTTTATAACCGCCTCTATCACCATCAGTCACACCTATCTATAAAGAGCGCTCAACTCAACCGCAATACAATGTATAAGGCAGCGCCAAGCCCTCTACGGGCAGTTGCTGTCGGAGATGTTGAACTTCGGGGTGGCACCGCACAGCAGATCAAATATGAAATCACAGCACACCCCGTGATTTCCCAGCTGACTTTTGGGGACGAGGATGGCGCATGCTTCATCTGCAGTGTTCCAAAACGAGTTCGTTAGTGAACGTTGGATATACCACAACTGTGCCGCATAAAATTCCCTTATGCGTAACAAAAATTATTAGAATCAATGTTCCTTACATTTATAAAGTACCTCACCCGAGAGATGTATGATCAGTTATAGTTTACGAAAATAAGTATAGCCTGGATTACTTACACATCACAAAAAGGATTGTAATGTCAGAAAATGTCGGAACTGAAGCAAATCCTGTCACAATTACCTTTGCGTCCCAATAATTGCAAAATTTTCCCCTCGGTATACATACAATTATTCAGGCTCGTTTTTAGTGAGTTCATACTTAGTGCATAGACTTTTGATAGCTCAAGGAAAGAACTCGTCCGTCAAGTTTCGTTAGGAAGGAACATGGCTATCAGAGGCACATTGCGCTCAGTAGGACCTGAGGTATAACACTGAACGCACGAATGTCCAGTGACAACATTCACTCACTGGTTTATGAAGTTCATCATTCACGTCTGTTTTTCGTCTTCTCCTGAAATCTCATACCGCCATCACGGCATCAACCATCAGAACTGTCTGGGTGCCCAAGCATCAGAGCACATCAAGAGATGCGCATGTCTACCTGAAGTGGAGCATTTGCCTCTTGTCGGAGACAAAAGTCCATAGAGCGAATAATATCAGACGGGTTTGGGAGCCAGATACCCATGAAGAGGTCGTGCTTAATGTAAAAGTTACCGCTAGCAGTAACATAGGCCATCTCCCAAATATGTCCGACGCCTCCGACCCCTGTGCAGACAGGTGTACACGCATAAAGTTATCTGACTGTATACATTGTAATTTTGGTAGCTCGTAAATTTACAGTCAACACAGGTATTTTGGAACCGCTTTTCAGTCTGAAGCGGTAACCGCGATGTGTACAAGGAAGATTTGGCTCAGGTTCGGGTTCACTATGGGATATCAAATTTCAGTTTCTTTCTTTATCTGGTTGTTTTCATTCGAAAGGTCCTAATCCGGTCATTTGTTCGGCTTCGAGTTCGGTTCAACAGCCCGGCAGCGTATGACCGCTTTGAAGTGCACAATAATTAGCCCGAGATTGCACCAGTACAAGAAAATTCGTAATAGTCACGCTGAATAAAACTATAAGCTACGTCAAGCACGTTGTATCTTTTCTTAACTCTCCAAACATTCGTCAACTGATCACGTCAACTATACCCGCAAAATAGATTATAGTACTCTAAGCACACTGAAGGACGAGTATTGATATGAAAGACTATGTTATGCAGGCAGCATAATGCGGTAGAAAAATGAAGAATGACAACACGGGTACGTAATGCTAAATAAAAGACAGGAAGAAAGAGTTTTACCGCCTGCGTATGGCACACGCAGTACATCGCACGTCTTGATGTCTTTGTACGCTGAGTATGCCGGCACCGAGATATCCTCTGCGAAATTACAAAAAATGAAAATGTGTTATCCCAAGTTACCCTTAATAAACTATTTCTTTTCACCTGGATTACTGTACAAAATAAAAAAGGCATACGTTGTCAGAAACATGCCAAGTAAAGTGTGTAACATAAAATAATAGTTGGATATTCAATCTTAGTTATTTAAGTAAACTTAAGTGAACGATTACTGAAACCTGCTTTATTAGGATAGCTTGAACTCTAGAATGGTTTACGGCGTTATTTTTTAGGTTCAATATGCAGTTCTATTTGAAAGGATGTCAAGGGTTAGTCGCTGCCCACAGATTCATAAAATGCTTCAAGTGCAGTGTTTACGGACAAGAATATAATACATTTTTTTTTAAATAAGGCTATTGGGTGCTTTCAGATAAGTTCGGTCGACAACTGTCCGGTGAACATTTAATCTTTTACAAAAAGAAATATTTTGTAGGCTCAATGCCCCTCAAAGCAAAACCAAAATCAGTTTTTCGAAAAAAAAATAACATTGTCCTTGCGGAGAAAAATTAGAAGCATACTCTCAGTGCGAAGCGCTTTCTGCGAATTGCGCGAAGTTGGCATTTCAGTCAGCTCTCTCAAAACAGCTGTTGGGCCTGCCGCTCGAGAAATATTTACTGAAAAGCTACTTATAAGGAGGACTGACTCAAATAAATTTATCGGTAAGTGTCAACGTTATTAATTTCTAGAAAAAAATCGCAAGCATGTAACATTCTGCAGAAGAACTTACATTTTATTGATTTTTTCCTCCGGATCTATATATACCAGAACTTTCACACTTTTCCAGCGTGTTATCCTGTATCTTGTTAATACTGGCGCGAAATAGAGTTGTCCTGCGCAGCGAAATAAATTTATGAGAAACGCTCAAATGGGGTGGGGTCATTTCAATAATTACGAGTTATTTTGAAACTCAATAAAAATAAATCTCATCTTTGATTTTTCTTAAACTCTCCCGCATAAAGGCAAATGATAGGTACTAACTATATCTGCAAAATTATGTTGCATTATTTTTGTTTATTTGAAGTTGTAAAGCTAGAAATATAACCAAATTGAGGCTACCGCAGCACCGTGAACGGGACGTGTAGATACGTATAGATGACGAATTCATTAATTCTACAAAGTGTAGAAATGCTCGAGGGTGGTCAAAAAGAAACAAATTGACGGCACAGAGGTAGACGGTGGTTTTAAGGCGAAAATTCTTCTTGTGTTTTTGTATGAGTCGCAGAAAATGCTTGCGGTCCGGAGCGATCGGGATGCACTCTCATTTTGCATGCTTCGTAGGGACTGTTTTCAATAGCAGGCGTATAGTGTCTCTGTGTACACGGCATATAGGAATGCGGCAACGCTTAACACATGCGTATCTCAGCCTTTTGCCTGGCGGTAACATGATATGGCGTGGCGAATACCGGCGCCTCTTTACAGCATTGAAGCCGTCGCCCCGGTGGACCGCGAAACGCGAAGAGAAGACAAACGCTGGAGAAAAGCGTACCGGTTGTTTGAAAGTGAAAGCAGTGATAAGGGCCCCACAGGTAGCATTCACTTTCACTTGCCTTTCTCGTGGACCATTCGGCAGACGCTTCGTTAGCATCACCCATGAGTATTGCCTACGCCTAGTGCTCCCCGCGTTTCGATGGCTGAATCGTACAGCTTAAAGCGAGTGTTCTGCGCTGACTATCTCAACAGTTACAAGAAAAAAAATCAAATATCAATGAAAATTTCGCTATGTGAAAGATTTAGACATCGCTTTGTTAAAGAAGCATATGCTAGAAGCAGCTCACCTCATCCGAGATGCCGACGTTTTGTGTCAGAACTGCTTCAGCCGCTTCAAGAAACTCGCCAAAGAATCTCCAGAGACATCTGAGCCTGACGAAATATTGGTTTCTCGAGAAGCAGCCGTCAACGATCTCAACAGATTCATTCAGTCAACAGAAATATCCCCTCTGAAAGCACGAACTGGGTTGAAATTCCATTGTTGAAACCCTTACGCAAGGCGGAAGACGAGGGAGATCGAGATCGTTCTCGTTAAGAAACTTTGATCAAGCCTCACTGCAGCATATGGAGTCATGGAGCCTCGGTACAAAGCTGCAACATTTGTCCAGAGTCGTTCAGCAACCTGAGATATGCGTTCAATTCTTCTGATTCGTACCGAGAACGATGCCGTCTCCTGACTTTGCTCCCGAGGAATATCTCCCAGCAACAGATCGAAAAGGTGATTCTTTGAGCAACTCGCCACCTGATCCAAAAAGCAAGGAAGAACCAAGAGACACTCGGAGTGTGGTCAATGCCTGACCCCTACACAAGAATGAGGCTGAGCCAAGTGGACGTTCAAGCGGCACTGAATTATAAACTAAAGATGAACTCGACTGCTCCCAACAAAGCCCGAACAAGGAGGTTATTGGCATCATTTCAAAGGGACAAAAAGAATATGTGTCAAAACGATTTATGACAAGGTCTATTCGTGAAACTTTCTGGCGGCTCACCCTGACACGGCCATTGGGTTCACCAAGTTCTGCTCATTGAGGCCAAAGTGGGTGGAGTATACATCTTGGCACAAAGTTTGAGTGTGCACGTACTGCGCTAACATCAATCGAGCTAAGTGTTTGCGGTGGCAATCAGTTCGTCGAACGACGTTTCATGAACAAATCGGTTCGTCAACACTGCGATGTTTCATCGACAGATTGTTTTGGGGAAACGAGCACCCTCTCATTTCATCAACAGACGTTGCGACGTTTCGCCGACAGCTCGCTCTGCCAGCTCCGCCAGCTGCACCTCCTCGCGACCTCTGCGCCTGCGCGGCACGCAGCCATGTGCTGGATGGATGGATGAATGGATGAAAGATGGCCGACTGGGCCAAGTAGGGCAAACGAGTCCGCAGCCATCTTGCCTCGCCGACTTAAACTATCTTTTTCTGCTAATTTGTTTTTCTTTTTGGGCCATTGATCGCACTGTTGTCGGAACTTACGATTTGTATGGTTTAGCTCGTGCCTTTGCCCGAAACTTTGGGGAAGCGTTGTCGAAGCCGGAAAGTTTTGTTCTCGACCACTGTCCTTTGTGAAATGAGATTCTTAAAACCTTCAACAAATATGCGCTGCTCTTGAGGGCTACGCTTTCGCCAGTATACGTGATCGAGGTGCCTGTACGTCATCGAATGCAACCCCTCGCGGGCTGGCCGACGGCACTCCGACTGTTTTAATGAAGTGGCAGGGTCGTTTCCAGAGCAAGTGTATCTTTCCGCGCGTCGCGTCTTTGGTAGAATCATCAAGAGTCACCTGAACATAGCATAGATAATCCACACGTCAAAACACTCACGCTCTTAAAAAAATTGGATAGCAGAAAACGAGGCCTGTTAGCGGTGCACACAGTCATTCTATGTTAGGAATCGGCATAAAATCGGTTTTTAAGCTAATATGCATGTGGTCGTAGCCGCTAGCAATAAAACTTGAAGGCGACAGAATTCGGTTACGCGTAGTTTACTTTACGGTGATAAAACACGGTTCATTTAGAGCACAGCTCTTAGGCGCCCGTTTCCAGCTTGAGCGGTGTCGCCGTCGCCGTCGGCGTCGGCGTAACCGCGCAGTGCATTATGGGACGCGTGACGTCACTGATGACGTCATCAGTGACGTCATCGTCATCGTCGCTGATGATGGCATCAGTGACGTCACTGATGACGTCATCGGCATCCGCATCGTAATCGTCACTGATGACGTCATCAGTGACGTCACTGATAAGGTCATTGTCATCGTCACGTGACCTCATAGGGGTCACGTGACCCCCGTGAGGTCACGTGATCTCGGTGACGTCACAGGACCCCCGTGAGGTCACGTGGCCCTCGTGAGACGACGGCGACGCCCCTCGGAGGGAGGAGTAGCAGACAGGATGAGGAGGTGAGGAGGAGGGAGGAAGGATATACCTTCCCCTCAGTACTCCTCCTCTCCTCCTCCTCAAGAGCTGCGCTCTAATCCGGCGTTACAGAAAGTTGTAAACTGCTTTCATTTTTTTCCTCCAAACACCGAGTAATCAACCTACTGAAAAATACGGGACCGCATAAGATTTTTATACTTTAGCATATTTAGCTTCTGGATATTAAACAACACAATAGATATGTTATGTCTGTACTGAAATGCTGCATGCAGATTAGCATAAACCAATGTGTGACCAAAGGACATTAGCTTTGGAAGCCGCTCTTTTATGCAAAGAGCTGGGTCCCGAACTTGCCCCTGGTATCTGTCGGCCGGCTTCGATCAAAAACAATTGTATGTCGCGTGTGAGGACCATGCCGTCACCTGCTGCCGGCAGATCTCCGTAGGTGGTACTACCGCCTTCAAGGCCTAGGATGTGGCGGCTGCTCGAGAGAAGCTATATAATGCATTAAGTTGCACATTTGATGTCAACTATGGTTTACTTTAAGTAATAAGACTAAACTTGGGGTAATGTTTTATTTATCTATTACCAATTCCCGTAGTTTTTTTTTTTTTTTTTTTTTTTTGCATTGCGATTTAGCGTTTTTTTTAGGTTTACTCGCGGGCACCGTGCTCGCGAGAATGCGAGTTTCGATGTTTTCTGGGCTTTTGTTATGCATTTTTATTTGACATTCTTAACACCCCCTTCTTATCTAATGTCCTTTTTAAACGGCCTATAGGGACAAATGGCGATGAAACGAGTGCGACGAAACCGTTTTTTTTTTCGCATAGAAGTCGCAGTAGCCATAAAAACACAGAATCACTTTTCCTTTTGAACAGTTGAGGGTAATGTACATGTTTAATTTAAATTGAAATATTAGGGTTGTAATGTAGCAATAAAAGACTGCAAGCTGTTTTTGTTTAAAAACAACCAATATAAAAAAATCTGTGTCCACGACTTTTCCTAACTCACCAGTGGATCGAAGTTTTCTTTTCTGCCTACGCATATTTTCTCCACCACTTTTCTTCTTCCAGTAACTTTCCATAAACGGGCATCGGAACTTGCAAAGAAATATCCGAATAGGC